ACTGGTAATCAGTGTATCAGCCTGCTGAATGGGGCGGGGGGCGGGGGTGGGCAGCTATAGACAAGGAGACAGGTTGGTGGGAACAACGCAAGTTACCTAGACCTTGACCTTGACCAAGCTGCATAGCAACACACATCCCACATAAAGGGTTAGAGCCAGCTTGCACTTGCCAGGGAGCCCCAAATTCTAGCCTTACTGGCTTATGGGACCTGGTTCTGCCATGCAGTCTAACTACTGGACATGACTGTGGGAAAAAGAGATAAAAGAAGCGCAAAAGGACCAATGGTTAGCATCGGCACGCTGCAGTGTAGGGAGGGTTTTAATCTCTGTAGACGACAGAGAGTTTTAAACTATTATCCTTTATGCAAATTAAAAAACACATTCTGGGGCGCCTGGGTGGCTCAGTCGTTAAGCATCTGCCTTCGGCTCACGTCATGATCTCAGGGTCCTGGGATCGAGCCCCACATCGGGCTCCCTGCTCGGTGGGAAGCCTGCTTCTCCCTCTCCTACTCCCCCTGCTTGTGTTCCCTCTCTCGCTGTGTCTCTGTCAAATAAATAAATAAAATCTTTAAAAATAAATAAATAAATAAATAAATAAATAAATAAATAAAATAAAAAACACATTCTTAGGGGCGCCTGGGTGGCTCAGTCGGTTGGGCATCTGCCTTCAGCTCAGGTCATGATCCCGGGGTCCTGGGAACAAGCCCCACGGTCAGGCTCCCTGCTCAGCTGGGTGTCTGCTTCTCTTTCTCCCTCTACCCCTCCCCCCTCCACTCATGCACTCGTTCTCTCTCTCTCTCTCTCAAATGAATAAATAAAATCTTCAAAAAACCCCACATTCTTAGACCATAGGACTTGTCTCAGATTGAAGAGTGAATAACTGTTGGCAGTCAGGCCTCGACTCTCCTTCCTCGGAATGCTCCTCCCTACCACACACACTCGCATGCCTGCACACACGAGCACACGCTCACACATGCACTCAGAGGGGCCTGATATAGGCCAGGAAGAGCAGGCATTTGCAAGGGGTTCTGCTTCCTCGGGTTCCGCAGGAGTCTTCAGTGCGGGGAGGTGGCAGCACACATAGGGCTCGGGGCTCACGGCCCTGAGGATCAGAGAAACCCAGGAACTAGGACCCAGTCCCCCAAGGGACGGGGGCTGACAGACGGGGCACAGGAAAAACTGGAATGTCCCCTTTTGTGTTTCCCGATGTGCCTCTGGCCATCGTGACAAGCGAGAGTGGGCCACCTTGGGAATCAGTCTTCCTCTCTCAAGCTCTGGAATGAGTCATTTGGCAAATGGCTTCAAGGGGGAAATTACAAAGCTTCCGTGTCACCTATGGAAACCGTGGTGGGGTTTATATTTCTTTTGGGTTTCTCCCGCGAGAGGGCACGCGGAACCACACGCCGCTCACGTGCGCCCCACGTGCGCCCCACCTCCAGATGCGTGCAGGGAGCTCAGGCTGGAGGGCCCTGGGATTTCCTCTTTCCAGTGGCCATCCCGTTCCTCTGCCATCAGCTGCGGCTTTGCTTGTCTTGCCCCTGCCGCAGGAAAAGCAGATTTGGCCAGTCGACTCCAGCAGTGAGCTGGGCTCAGCCGCAGTGCTCCCGGAGGCGCCTCTGCATTTCCCACGGTGCCAAGGGAAAGGCTTTCTGGGAACCCTCAGGACATGTTCTGGGGGGAAGTTTTCTTGCTTTGTGCTCTCTACGGGTCTTAGGGGTCGCTTTCACCCTCATTATCATAAAACCATAAATCTTTTTGTGCCTCTGATACTTAGGCTCTTTTTTATGGTTGGCTCATTGAAAATTTCTTTCCTGGAAACAAGAAAGTAGCCCATAATTTTTTATTTATTTTATTTATTTATTTATTTTTTTTTTTTTTAAAGATTTTATTTATTTATTTATTAGAGAGCGAGCGAGAGAGAAACAGCATGAGAGAGGAGTGGGTCAGAGGGAGAAGCAGGCTCCCCGCTGAGCCGGGAGCCCGATGCGGGACTCGATCCCAGGACCCTGGGATCATGACCTGAGCCGAAGGCAGTCGCTTAACCAACTGAGCCACCCAGGCGCCCAGCCCATAATTTTTTAATAGCAATCTTCCGTCCTGGCAGCTGTCACACATACAAACTCTGTCGCTCGGGAATAGTTTTTGAGCACCTTCTATGGTTTAGGCACCGTTCAGGGAGCTGAGGATATCGCACTGGACAACACCGACACACTTCTTGTCCTTAGGAAGCTGTACTGAACGACTAAAATAACTTCATAGATATTCCACAAACCAAACTTAGACTTAAGGTGAACACACTGAAACTTCACTTAAACTTGAGAGCCTGGGTGGCTCAGTAGGTTGTGTCCAACTCTTGATTTCGGCTCAGGTCATGATGTCAGGGCCGTGAGATTGAGCCCCACATCGGTATCTGTGCTCAGCGGGGAGCCTGCTTGAGATTCTCTCTCTGCCCCTCCCTGCCCCCGTGCACGCTCTCTCTCTCTCCAAAAAAATTAATTAATTAATTAATTAAAATTTAAACTTGAGGATTCAGACTTCATTTCTATTCAGAAACCCGGAGCTCATCTCCTGACTTGGCTGGTCTGGGCTCTCCTTCAATGTCCACCAGGCGGCTTGTTGATGGAGGCTATATCACAGCAAATCTAAGATTCTGTGAATTCTCCTGTGGTGATTATGGGAGCTTGGCTAGAGGGCCGAGAGGACACCACCCGACCTATGAAAAAACTGGATTTTGCTGAAGGTTTATCTCAGAAGAGGATTAAATATAATTTGGATTAAAAAGGATTAAATATAATTTATAAATTATATAATATAATTTCAATGGTTCATTTCTCGAGGCATCTGGGTGGCACAGTCATTTAAGTATTCGACTCTTGGTTTCGGCTCAGGTTGTGATCTCAGGGTACTGAGATCGAGCCCTGAGTTGGGGTCCACGCTCAGCGTGGAGTCTGCTTGAGATTCTCTCCCTCTCACTTGTGCTCTCTCTTTCTCTCTCTCAAATAAATAAATAAAGCTTTAGAAAACGTTCTAAATTGTTCATTTTTCTTTAGGGACATAGAAAACAACTAAGACCCTTAGCTGTAGAGAACAAACTGATGGTCACCAGAGGGGAGGTGGGTGGGGCATGGGCGAAACAGGTGATGGGGATTAAGGAGTGCACCTGTCGTGATGAGCACTGGGTGAAGTGTTGAATCACTATGTTGTAGACCTGAAGCTACTATAACACTTTATGTTAACTACACTGGAATTTAAAATAAAATGAAAAAAAAAAAAAGTAAAAGCACAATCTTAACGAAAGGGAGATTTTAGTTGAAGGACAGGAAAAAAAGGAAAACAACTGTTTAAAAGAACTGCTTCTTTTTGTAAATCTGGGCCTTGCTGATTTTAATGGGTGGCTCACTCATTCATTTATTTATTGAACGCTGCAGTGGGCCAGGCACTGTGCTCTGTGATAGAAGCACAGAGTTTAATAAGACATGGTCCCTGCCTTTAAGAAGCTCAAAATCCTGTAAGAAAAGCAGATATAGAGACAGTCAGGTAGCTACGTGCTATGTGCTGTCCTTGAGTGATGGGCTTCACTGAGCATGGGGGCAAGTCTTCAGAGAGAGGACGCTCAAACTGGGTCATTAACATGAGTTTAAAAATAATTACCTTATAAGAGCCGGTGCCTTGTCTCTATCCTCTCCTGTCTGACATGTGTCCGTGGTGGCTATAAGGAATTTAGCCACATTAGCCAGCTCCCAGTAAACAACCACACCAGCCCTTCTATGGGGGAAGCTGCTTAGTATTCTATTTTGTGCCGTCAGAGATTAAATTCCAAATTCACTGGCACTGAAGATGAAACAGCTAATTACATACAGTAATTGCATTTAAAATCCATGCCTTTGAGTGACTGATGAAATCTTCTTTTTAAATGGTCCTGAAACTCAATGTACCCAGCAACCAACTGTGGTTAAGGGGCAGCGTATTTTTAGTCTCGTACTGTGGGCACAGCTCCATCCTCTTTCACCCATGTCCCTTCCTTGAATTCAGTCTCTGAATTGAAAAGAATACTTTTGTCAAAAAGGAAGAAGTAAAGTTGTCTCTATTTGCAGGTGACATGATATTACATTTAGAAAACCCTAAAGACTCTACTCCCCCCCCAAAAAAAACCATTAGAACTAATAAACAGATTCAGTAAATTTGCAGAATACAAAATCAATGTACAGAAATCAGTTGCATTTCTATACACTAGCCACAATCTGTCAGAAAGAGAAATGAAGAAAATCTCATCTACAATAACATCAAAAAGGATAAAATACATAGGGATAAATTTAACCAACAAGGCGAAAGATCTGTACACTGAAAACTAGAAAACACTGATAAAAGAAATTGAAGGAGACACAAATAAATGGAAAGATATTCTGTGTTCATGGATTGGAACCATTAGTATTGTTAAAATGTCCATACCACCCATAGCAATCTACAGATTCAGGGTTAGTCCTATCAAAATTCCAATGGCATTTTTCACAGAGATAGAAAAAGCAATCCTAAAATTGGTATGGAACCACAAAAGACCTTGAATAGCCAAAGCAATCCTGAGAAAGAACTCAGCTGCAGGCACTACATTTCCTGATTTTAAACAAAGCTACAGTAATCAAAACAGTATGGTGTTGGCATAAAAACAGACAGATCAATGGAACAGAATAGACAGCTCAGAAGTAAACCCACCCTTATATGATCAATTATTATTCAACAAAGAGACCAAGGATGTACACAGGGGAAAGAATAGTCTCTTCAATAAACAGTAGGGGGAAAACTAAAAATCCGCATTCAAAAGAATGAACCTGGACCTTTATCTTCCACCAAACACAAAAATCAACTCAAAATGTATTAAAGACACGAATATAAGACCTGAAAACATAAAACTCATTGAAGAGGGCGCCTGGGTGGCTCAGTTGGTTGAGCGACTGCCTTCGGCTCAGGTCATGATCCTGGAGTCCTGGAATCGAGTCCCACATGGGGCTCCCTGCTCAGCAGGGAGTCTGCTTCTCCCTCTGACCCTCCCCCCTCTCATGTGCTCTCTCTCTCTCTCATTCTCTCTCTCAAATAAATAAATAAAATCTTTAGAAAAAAAAACTCATTGAAGAAAAATACCCTTAATATTGGTCTTGGCAATGATTTTTTTTTTTATTTGACACTGAAAGCAAAGGCAACAAAAACAAAAATAAACAAGTGGGATCCATCAAGCTAAGAAGATTCTGCATGACAAAGGAACCATCAACAAAATGAAAAGGCACCTATAGAATGGGAGAAAATATTTGCAAACTGTATGCCTGATAGGGGGTTAATATCTAAAATAGACAAAGAACCCATACAACATAATAGCAAAATAATAATAATAATAACCCAACTTTAAAAATGGCAAAGGACTTGAACAGACATTTTTCCAAAGAAGACATACAAATGGCCAACAGGTACATGAAAAGGTGCTCAACATCACTCATCCTCAGGAAAATGCAAACCAAAACCACAAGGAGAGATCACCTGGCACCTGTCAGAACGGCTAAAACACAAGAAATAACAAGTGTTGGCAAGGATGTACAGAAAAAGGAAGCCTCGTGCACTGTTGGTGGGAATGCAAACTGGTGCAGCCACTGTGGAAAACAGTATGGAGGTTCCTCAAAAAACTAAAAATAGAATTACCATATGATCTAGTAATTCCACTACTGGGTAATTACCCAAAAAATACACAAACACTAATTCAAAAAGATACATGCACCCTTATGTTTATTGCAGCATTATTTACAATAGCCAAAGTATGGAAGCAGCCTGAGTGTCCGTCAATAGATGAATGGATAAAGATGATGTGAGTATATATATATAGATATAGATATATCTATATATATATGATGGAATATTATTCAGCCATAAAAAGAATGAAATGTTGCCATTTTCAACAAGGATAGATCTAGAGGATATAATGCTAAGTGAAATAAGTTAGCCAGAGACGGACAAATACCATATGATTTCATTCCTCTGTGTAATTTAAGAAACAAAACAAAGAAAATGAGAGACAAAAAATTAGACTCTTAAATATAGAGAACAAACTGGAAGTTATGGGGGCATGCGGCTGGGTGAAATAGGTGATTAAGAATACACGTATCACATTGAGCACCAAGGAGTGTATAGAATAGTTGAATCACTATGCTGTACACCTGAAACTAATATAACACTGTACATTAATTATACTGGAATTAAAAAATTAAAATAAAAAAAAAGAGGAGAGCTCATAAAATTTAGGAGACCTGGAAAAAAAAGACAAGAGATAACAGATGTTGGCAAAGATGTGGAGAAAAGGGACCCCTGTGCCCTGTTGGTGAGAATGCAAACTGGTGTAGCCACTGTGGAAAATAGTATGGAAGTTCCTCAAAAAATTAAAAATAGAGCTACCTTAGGATCCAGCAATACCACTTCTGGATATATATCCAAAGGAAACAAAATTATCGTCTTAAAAGAATATCTGTACTCCCATGTGCATGGCAGCATTGTTTACAATAGCCAAGGTATGGACACAACCTACATGTCCTTTGACAGATAAATGTGAATGAAGACAATGTGATATCCATATATAGACATAGATATAGATATCACAATGGAATATTATTCAGCCTTAAAAGAATCCTGCCATTTACGGCATGGGCGTTCACCCATGGAGGGTATTATGCTAAGCAAAACAAGCCAGACAGGCAAAAATAATGCATGGGATCACTTATATTCGGAATCTTAAAAAAAAAAAAAGCCGACACAAAAACTGGGTCTCAGAAACAGAGAGTAGAATGGCGAATGGCGATTTCCAGGGGCTAGGGGAGATGGGGGGAATGGCGAGCGGTTGGTAAAAGGGTACAGCCTTTCAGCGATAAGATGAACAAGATATGAGGATCTCGTGTATTGCAGTGACTATAGCTAATAATATTGTATTGTATAACTGAAATTTGCTAAGACAGTAGAATTTATGTATTCTCACTAAAAACCAAGTTACTATCTGAGGTGTTGGCCATGTTCATTAACTCAATTGTGGAATTCCTTTTACAATGTTCATGTTCATCACATCATCGCGCTTAACAGTACAGCAATTTTTTTTTTAATTTTTAAAAATTTCCTCTATAATATTTGAAAGCTTATAATTTAAATGCTTATAATTTGTAACACTTTAAATATATATTTAAGACTCTGCAGTGTTCTCACTCCTAATTTTAGTCATTAGTTATTAAAATGTATTCAGGCATCTATTAGAATTTATTCACGGAATCCATTATTCATTATAAACATCTGGGGAAGGGAAGGTACACAGACCTTCCCCGGTGCCTGAGCTCGCGCCAGGGCTGATGCTGGGGATCTCAGCTCAGGACACGGCCCTGTGTTTGGAGGACATTCGGTTTCGTTTTCTCTCCCCTCCATTCCTCGTTGAGGCTTCTGGACCTGTTTCAGTTGGACAGAAAATGAAGGAAGTTATGTCAGATGAATCATTTCACTGTGTGTTGCTTTACAGAATCACTTCCCCTGGATAATTAATAAAAGATTGACAGGAAGAATGTCCCTGGAATAATTAGCAGGCAGCTTCAGAATAGGAACATCTATTTTTCTCATTGCTCAGTCACACCGAGCACCTCGTTTTTGCCATTGGAGGATTTTTGACAGAGGTGGAGGCATGCTTCGAGCGGGCTGCATGGCTGATCCTTGTTGGGACACAGAGACCCCCGCCCTCCCAACCACGGAGACACCACGGAAAGCTGCCGCGACCAGGAAAGAGCCCCTGCCCAACCCCCAAGCCCACCTCTCCAGAATCTTCTGTTCTGCACACTGGTTTTGGCATTTCCTAGCTCTGACTCACATCTTTATAATGAGGTGAAGTTTCCAGTTTGCAGGCAAATAAATCAGACAGTGCAAATTCAAGTGGCATAAAGTTTGTTGTGTTTTGTTTTTTTTTTTTTTTTTTTTTTTACAGAAGATGGTGCAAAAAGTTTTCGGGGACCGGGAATCCTAAATCCTGTTTGGCCAAAAACCACGTATTGCTCCCATGATGTCAAATTGCCTTAAACCCTGTCAACTAATGTGGGGACAATCAACTGATTTGCTTTTTGGGTCAAAATGCTGACCTGACTGCAGCCCCTCTTTTTCCTTACTGCGGTTTTCATATTTTTGCTTTTAAACAATTTGTGTTCCTTTTTGCGATTATCCTTTCCCGTCTCTTTTACTTGAGCAGAATAACGTTTTCCGATTCCACTGTCACATGATACGCATGGCAACTTTATTAATAATCTTGACAATCTTCCTCATATTAAAAAGTTAACTCTGGCTCTAATGTGGCCTGTGACCTCTCAGAAGTCACTTAAAGGCTTTGAACTTCAGATCTCCCAACTGTAAAAGGAGGCGATGGGGCTAGAATGTTTCTAGTTCCTTAAAATGGAAAAAAAAAAAAAAAAATCTGTGGTCCTGAAGTGTGCCTGGGTTGGCCTGGGGCAGAACTTCATACCTGAGGATGCCTCAGGATCCCTCTGCGGACTCTGCCTTACCCCCCAAGAGCCTCCTTCCCCCTCCTCTCCTCATCTCTCTTCCAGCTATCCTTCGTTGCTCACCTCCCAGCCTTTCAGGGCTCTGCTGCCCCAGGCCAAGAGCTCAGACCCACAGGCAGGCTTCGGGGAAGAGGGGGCCACAGGGAGTCGAGCCCACCCTCCCGGTGAGGCAATGTGGGGACGCTTTGGGGCACACAGATTTTCTCGTTTTCTTCAGGGCATGCCAAGGAAGGGGTTGTCAGCTTTGTAATCCTCTGGACTGTTCTGGGTGATTTGGACCCATGCCTCTCCTGACAAGTTGCTTTCCTAACCTGGGACGATGGGGCGCCCTGTTCATCCTTCTCCCACAGGTCATTAGCTTTTTCAAGCCTGTTGAGAAGTCGCTGTTTTGACAGTCATTGTAACTGTAACTTAATCAGCACGATCTCCATGGCTAATTTCATGTACAGAGGATCGTGCTGTCACAGTTCTCACAGGGTTTCTGCCTCTGGAAGTAAGAGCCACCCTCCCGCTCAGACCTCTGAGGAGGGGGTGGGGGGCTGGGGTCCTGGAAAGGTGCCGCCTGTTTATACTCTCGGGGGATAGCATAGACCTCTAGGGCAGGAGTGGGGAGGACAATTTCAGATCAAAGCCCAGTACACCCTAGCCAAACCCCATCACCCCTCAGCTGCTCACTGACAACAGGGTGCTAATAAGGGACCCAGCTCACCAGGGGGTGTGGGTGCACTTGAACTGATTTTATGTAGCAGGACATAAGTGCTAAGTATTATTACAGTAGTAGGAAGAGAGCCACCATTAGCATTTTTAAGCCCTAGGGATACTTGAAAATCAGAAACTCACAGAGGTGCTGATAACGGCCGCCTGAGAGCTAGAACTCGCTTATGCACAATCACCAAGCTGCTAGCATTTAACTCATCACTGTGCACAGTAATTTGGATTACATCAGTCTGAAGGGGGCTGGGGATCTGGAAGGGGTGGTAATTAAAAAAAAAAATCCTTTTCTATGTGTTCATTTGATCAACAAATATCGGCAGTGTCAGGATTTGCTCCTGGTTGGGGGGTGAAGGTACCCTGCAGTGCAGCCAGCCTCCGGGAAGGGAAAGGAGGAAGGATTCTGAGGGTAGGGGTTATTCCAGAGCCCGAGGAGAGCAAGCAGCTGGATCCTGGGGCAGATGGACAAGGGCTGGGGGTCGGGGAGCCTAGCACAGGCCCTGGTGCCCGGTGGAACCCCCCCCAAATGTTCGTGGAATGAATGAACTCCGTGAATAAGAAGGAACAACAGTTAGAAAGTCCAAGGGGGGATGGGATAAATTCAGTCCAGTTAGAGGCAGCGAAGCCCAGGAGAAATCATTGTGTGACGGGGTGTGCGGCCTGGGAGGAATAGCACAATGGTGGCAGAGGGCCCAGGGGCAGACCTGGGTTGGTCACAAGAATCTGGGACCACAAAGGACAGAGAGAACAGAAGGAGGGCCAGGCCCTGGGGAAAGAGCGGACCCAAGTAGCTCCTCTCAGCAACAGCGCTGAATTCCCTGGGCACCAGCTGGGGGAACGCGCAGTTCCGTCTCTGCGTCCCCACACACCACGCCCCGCGGCCCGTCTTCTCTGTTCAGGCAGGCCTCCTCCCAGCTTCCCCAGCAGGAGATTTTCTGAGCCATTCTTCCATTTCCATCCTTGCTGTGTGTTTGATAAGTATTTTTCCATTTCATCCTCACAGCCGTGATTTGGCGGTCGGCATTGGCCCAGTTTTTCAGATGACGAACCTAGGCTCAGAGAGGTTCAGTAGCTTGCCCAAAGTCACACAGAAAGTAAACATGAGAGCTTGGAGCTGGAACCAGGTATGTCTGACTTCAAAGCCTGGATTTGTTCTCCTTCATCAAGGCATTTCTAGACTCACAGAACCTCCAAGCTGGAAGGGATCTGGAAGATCCTATGGAGGAGCCCTCTGAGTGAGGCAGGAATCCTTTTCCAGCATTCTGCATAAATTGCATATGCTCTTGTTCCGGGAAATTGCAAACAAAGAAAAAAAGAAAGAGGGGAGAAGGAAGGCAAGGAAAAAGGGAGAGAGAGAGAGAGAGAGAGAGAGAGAGGGGCAGGGAGGAAGGAAACCGAAGTCCAGCTTCAATGAACATATTTAGAATTTCATTGACAGAAAAGCCTAGCAAGAAGCTGTTTTAATTTCAGTATACCTGAACAGTTTGTACGTTATGTTTAGTGTTGTTCTTGTATCCAGTTACATTTGGAGAGGGACCCCGTCGCCTGCTTGGGGCTGGAAGTCTCGGGTGGTCCTGGCCTGCGAAGCTTTGTCCTGGCCTCCGAGATGTGCTCTCTTCTTCCCAGGCGATGCTTTGTCTCCTCTTGACAAAGGTCCTAATTTGCTGCCCTCATCATGGAGCTTTTTTCTCACATCCCCCAGTTTGACCCCACATCAGTAGCAGCCCAGGGGGCCCCATCCCACCCGCCCAGGCTTCGTGAGTGAGACCAAGCCCAGGGAAGAAAGTAGGAAACGGGCCACGGGCAGTCCGACAGCCGGTTTAGATAAGAGCTAGTAGCTTCCCTGAATCTGGTACCTTGGGGAGACAGAAACTCCAAGAGCCTGGAGTTGAAATGGGATGCAGAGAGGTGAATCAGTTACTTGGCCAAGTATTTGTGGGGAGACCGCTCTGGGACCTAGAAGAGCCACAACTCTGTCCAAACCTCGTGGTTTGCAGATACAAGGGCTTTTGTTCTGTTTACCCTCAGGTGGCTTCGAATCTAGGCCAGGGACCAATGAGAAGACACTTAGGGGCTAAGCTATGTGACAATAACCATAAAGGCAGTAGGAATTTAAAAAGGAAGAGACAGGTGTGGACGCGGGTAGCTGGAGGAGCTTCTGGCAAGAAGAGGGTCCTGAATAAGGCCGTGAAGCCTGGGATGGATCTGGGTGGAGAGTGGGGAGGTGGGAGGAAGGACATGGGAAGGGCAAAGTGAGAGTTGAGGGTGTAAGAGCCAGAAGGACGGGGAAGTCCTCATCAGGATGTGACGAATCAAAACAAAAAACAGCGCTACTTTACATTTATCACAGGTCTCAGAGTAACTTTACGTATCGTGTGTCCTCTGACTTCACCACATACCACAACTTGTCAGGCTTTCTTGACAAGTTTAGGAAGATATGGCCCTGTTCTCTGAACACTGCTGATTAGAGTGAGGGGCAAGGGCACCAGACCCTGAGGTTGGACTTTTGGATTTGGAAACCCAGAGTGGTTCCAATGAGTTTCTTCCCAGTGGCTGAAGCTGTAAGAGACAACATTTGGAAGACTGGGAAAGTAGAAGGTCTGAAGGGGGAGGAGGGAAAGGGGGAATGAGGAAGAAGCTGGTGTGCACAGATTCCGGGGGAGCGGGCGCATGGCTCCCCTTCATAAGCCACTTAGGTCTCAGGAAAGAATGAGGCTCAGTGAGAAATTTTGCCCCAAATCATCAGCTAGGAAGTCATGAAACCTGGACTCAGATCTGTCTGATTTCAAAGCCGGGGGTCCTCAACCGCTCTCCCCACAGCGTCCTGTGTTAGTTGGCTAGGGTTGCACTAACAAAGTACCACAGACTCGGTGGCTTTGACAACGGAAACTTACCATCTTGTGGTTCTGGAAGCTAGAAGGCTGAAATCAAGGTGTCGCCAGGACCCTGCACTCTCGTCTGGCTTCTGGTGATGCGAGCAACCCTTGCCTCATGGCGGCCATACTTCTTGGTGGGTGTTTCTTTGTCCCTTCAAAGGACACCAGTCCTACTGGATTCAGGGCCCACCCTAGTCCAGCAGGAGCTCGCCTTAACTTGATTCCATCTGCAAAGGCCCTATTTCCACCTCAAGTCACCTTCAACGCATCTTCTTCAGGGACACAATTCAACCCGTAGCCCTCCTCCAGAGAATGAGATCTGGTTGGTGAGGGAGCCAAGGCCCAAGTGATTTGGGGATTGACCCAGGCCTCCAGGCCGTTGGCCCACAGGGAGCTGGTGCTGGGAACTCTCTCCCCTCTTTCATGTTATAGGTAAAGCTGTCTTGCAGCTGCAGGAAAAAAGACACAGAAAATAATGTAAACTGGGGAGGAGTGAGCCAAAAGCAGATATTTAAATCCTCGATGATGAAGTGAAAAGCTGAGTGGGGGCCAGGGGTAAGGGAAAAAAGGAGCCGGCAATGAGATCACGGCGGCCGTTCATTTATTCCATATTAAGGGACTCGCATGTGCGAGGTACATGAGGACGTGTCTGCCACGCAGTCAGCTTACGAGAGGAGGCTCCCTGTTACAAATGCGTCTGTGCATTCAGATGCCCACTTGACCTCTTTTCCTCCTGTCTTCTGTTATGTGTCTCTGGGTAATTCTGAAGGATCACTGTGCTTTACAGTCTTTTAAGACCCAAGATTTTGGCCTGCTCCTTAGTTTTGGAGATTGGCAGTAAATTTTTAAAACCAACATCTTTGGGGAGGAACCAGAATTAGCCAAGCAAGAGAAGAAGAATGTGACAAATTATACTAACCATAATACAATAATTTAATTCATCTCTGGAAACCCTGCGCAAATAGTCATCTTCGAAATATACTTGAGATACTACTCTGCACTAATAAAGATCTTGCTCTTATATATATATATATATAATATTATATATACTATAGGCCCTAAGCATGTGTCTCAGAATAACTTTATGTATCGTATGTCCTGTGTGTGTGTGTGTGTGTGTGTGTGAATGTATGTGTATTTAGGTCCTAAGTGAGTATATATATTCATATGTGTATATGTATATGTGTGTGTGCGTGTGTTTAAACGTGTGTGTATGCAGGCTCTAAGAAGATATGTATTTATTTGTGCATATATATATTTGGCATATGTGTATATGTATATGTAGATAATATGTGTGTGTATATATAAGTGTATTTATGTGTGTGTTTGCATATATATAGGCCCTAAGTGTATGTATACATATGTACATATGTATGTATTTATATATGTGTATAATGGCGTATGTGCGTGTATTTATATGTATACACATACATACTATATATATATATATATATATATACATACATTTATACACACACACACACTTCAGATCCTAATTAACAGGCCTTGGTTAAATGTCTACCACCTTCAAGATCTCCAAGGTCACTTTAGTCTCAAGACAACAAATTGACAACCAGGAAACGCCCTGGGAACATAGATGTTACACCATTTGGGCTTAGAAGACCAATGATATTTGTAGGGGGCAGAATCTAGGGACCGCCCCCCCCAGAAAGAGGAGGCATGTGTTGTAACATTCTGGATGAAGCACAAATCTCCAGCAATTAGGTGCTTCCCACAAAATGTCTTCCCAGTTCCCCAGTTTTCTCTCCCTTTCCTTTTCTGAAACCAGTGTCAACCCTCCTCCCGTTCTCCTCCCGCGTAGCCCAGGGCTGGATCCCAGACACTCTTACTTTTGGAGGTGCCCCATCCCCCGTTATGTCAAGCATGTTCAAATACCGGCCCCCCACCCTCTACAGTAATCGATCACTCCATCAGGGCTGAGTTCAGTCGTGATGCTGAGCTAGCATGTGACACTTTTAGACATTTGATGAAACTTTTATTAATTTAGCTTCTTTTCTTCCCCGATTCTGAGGACAATAAAGTCTCCTCTTGAGTAAATGAGCACGTTTGGAATTCCTTATTTGGCATTCACCCCTCTGATTTGCCTCCCCCAGCGACCTCTCAGTATTGACGGGGCATCAGCAGGCCCAGCTGAGCTTTGATTCCTGGATCCCCCTTTCTTCTCTCTCCTGTGACCTTCGTCACAGGTTTGCTTCAGGACCCAGCAAGGCCACCTCCTGTTCTCTTTGAACTTCCCTCATCTTGCCACAGCCTCCAAAAGAGGCCCCCTCTGGACTCCTGATGGTGCTTCTTGTTTGGCACTTTCTTTTCTGTTCCAACTAGATAGATACCGAGCGAGCGTCTGATATGGACCACCACCATGCTTTTGTGCCTCGCTGAATCTCCTACGACGAGGTTTATTTATAGATGTTGGCGGCAGATACCAATCCCAAAGACGCAAAAGGGAAAAGTCAGCACTTACTTCTTTCACTGAATCAAGGTGCACCATAATTTTAAAAACCTGTCTCTCAGCTTACGGATGTTTAAGCCCTCGAGCCCTCTCTCCTATAACCGAAAGAATTGAAAGAGTATTTTAAAACCCCGAAAGAGGAAAAACATGAAAAGAAGCTGAGCTTTTCAGCACTTCCCATGAAGCAGGCTGCACCTTGAATGTTCAGAACAGTAAATTATTTCCTAAAGTGTTTTCTGCACACTGAGTCCTAGGTCTGAATATTTATTTCGACGTCCACCATTAAAGGAAAGGAGAAAATAAGAACTCAGAAAACCACAGCCCATTCCTTTCTAAGAGATGTACCTCATTCCAGCACACCTATGTAGATAAGTGAGTCTTTCTGTCTTTCGAAATATAAAATAATATATAGAGAGGGGGGGCAGCTATTAATTAATCAAGGACTGATTATCCAGTCTGGATCTGACCCAGACTCTTGGTCATATAGGTACGTTTTTCTTCCCCATGCTCGTGGATATCCCAGCCCCCATGGACAGCCTGCATGCGAAGACAGCCATTAGTCTTTGACATAGTAGTTTGGACTCGAATTCTTGCAAGATCCTTGCATGATGTTTGTACCTGGTTTCTTCATAGTTTCCTTGGTCCCCTTAATTAAACCACATCACTTCAGGCTGGTTGTTCAGAGGATCCAGATGATTTAAAACAAAACACAACAAAGCATTATCTACTTGGCCATGCCCATTGGAAGGACGTCGTCTCATCCTTCCTCTGCTAGCCTGGTGCCGGAGTGGGGCTACCTACCCCTTGCCCTGCATAGAGACCAACAATCTCTGGGGGATGTGCAAGGGGGCCAGCCCGTGGTCTGCCCTCCAAGGGTGCTTTGAGGAGTTACTAGTTAGTGGGTCTAAAGTACCGTAGAAACCGAAATTGTTTCTGAAAATGCTAAACAATAAGACATTGCTCCAAAGGGCCTGGGTCCCTTCATTATTTTATAGGAAATCCAACTCCAGCAGCCGTACACAGCCATTATCACTTAATTACCAATATAAATCTCACTAGCAACTTCCATAACTTCATTTGCAAATGAATATGCACACCCCTAAATCATCCCCTCCTTTTCTCTCTCTCCCGCAAGCCATTCCCCAACCGATGGGTGCTCAGAGAAACTCCAAGGCAGCCGTGATTTGCAGGGGCTCCCTGGTGGCCCGTGGCCCGCCGGGCCAGCATGTACCTGGAACATGGCTAGACGGGCACCACGGTGCCCACCTTCCCGCTCACACCCATAAATCCCTGCCGGCCTCTGCGAGGGGCAGGAGCATGGCAGGAGCCTGGCTCCCTCTGCTTAAAAGGTTCACAAACCACAGTCAACTTCTTAGTGATCTGAGGCCAAGTTTCCGGTATGTAATGAAAACTGAAACCTGGTTTTGGGTTTCCTCCCCAAATTCACACAGAGCTAGTCATGGCAAGAGACGTGTGAGGTAGCTAGGACAAGCAGCACTGAGGCTCAACTGAGACGCATGGCCTCAAGTTCTATTTCGGGCTCTGCCACCAACGTGTGTGGCCTGAAGCCCGTCACCCACCCTCACTCCCCTTAGGTAACTTTCTCTAGTGGTGAGAGGGTGCTTTTGACCTCGACCTTTCCTTCTGGGGCCTGTGGAGGCTACAGGGCGGAGGACTTTGAGGTAGGAGCATCCCCCTGAGTCTTATTTACAGCACACACACACACACACACACACACGTCAGGATGCTATGGCCGTCCCACCCGCATCAACATTTATATGTTGCCCTCTGTCTGCGTTCTGAAGCGTTGCTCTTACTTCTTTTAGGCTTCGGCTTGGATTTCAGGCACATTTATACTTGTTTGGCTTTCGACTTAATGGAGACGACCAGAATCACGTCTCCGTTATTTCGAGGGTTCACCTAAATGACCCCCCAGATCATTCCCAATGTGGTGCTTCTGTGAGTTTACGAAATGCCCCGGTGGAAAGAGAGCGAACCCAGGCTTTGAAGGCAGGCATACCTGGTCCCAGCTCTCAGCTCTCGAATCTACTAGCTGTGTGACTTCAGGCAAACTATTTAACCTCTCTGAGCCTGATTTCCTCATCTGAAAAACTGGACCAATGCCAACTACCAAACTGTTGCCACGAAGATTAAGAAAGTACTTACAAGACATGGAACAGAGTGCCTGCTATATAGTAGATGCTGATGCCAACACGAAATTCTGCTTTTCTTTATTCACGTGAGTCTCCGATGGGTCAAAAAATGTAGGCCATCGTACAGTTGAATGTTGCTTCTTTCTTCTCATCCAGGGTCCCACTTCAGAAAGAAGGAAAGAAGGAAATAAACAATAACCCTCAGAGGCTCTGCTGAAAGCATCACCCATCCATTGAAATGTACTTTCCATTCAAAAACTAGGTTATTAATTATTCATTCCTATTGGAACTGAAATAAGAACAGAGCTCACTGCTTACGACCCAGAGCTTGACAGGAACAGCGCTCCAACTGCTTGTTGTCAACCGTTTCCTGTGATCTATGTAATACATCCCAAATCTGAGATTTGCAGTGTTAAGAATCAGGCAAACTTTAGACTGAATGACTGTCGGTAATATTTAGTAGATGCCCTGGAATGACTGACTGTTCACTTTCTTTTCATTTCCATTCCAAGCAGTGCATTTCTTGGGGATTATTTCACTGCATGGGTGGCCGAGTCCCTTGGCCTTCAGCCGTATGGCTCATTCCACCGCTCTGGGCAAGCAATAACCACCCAAAAATGCAAGCTTTTCTTTCATGCCCCAGTGGCATGAGTAACATCATTAACTCTTTGAGGTTGAGATTTGGGATTACGTAAAAACCTTACACCCCGCTGTGTTAGCAGTCCGAATACCAGAGTAACAAAGTGTTCGCAGTCTGTTTTTCATGCCAGAAACGCGGTTGCCCTAATAAACAGTCCTTGAGATATTTTTTCCCAGCGATTACATTTCATCAGGATTGCGGATTTCAAAATGGAAGCTAAGTGCTCCCTACTGCTCCTAGTTCCAGCGAGAACAAATACGCGAGACTCTTCAGACCAGGGGAAATTCTGCTGACATGTCCCCAGGAGCGAAAGGACAGGAAGAGCACAGCTGTGCAGGATGGTGTTTCATATGCTCCTCTATGGATGAGCTTTCTAAAGAGTAAAAACCTTGCAGGACATTCAGTAAAAGGAGACAGAGTAACACATTTCCTATGGGCCTTGGGCCAGGGCTGGGACAAACCAGAGCCCCATGCACGTGCACTGTGGATTCCGCGCGCCATCTGGTGGCTCGGAGCTGACATGGCAAGCACCGTCTGGGCTTTCACCCCATTGAGGCCTCATTCACACAAGGAGCGCTAAGTAGGCTTTGAAGTTCTGTTGGGAGGTGATCACCGGGGCCCCAAAGGAAGACACCAAAGGCCCAGTGTTCTGAATTCCATTCTTTATTCCACAACAGGATACTGAGGCCCCAGGTTCTCCTGGAAAACAGAGATAACTATCCTTCCTTTAGGACCAGACTTCCTCGGACACAGCACCGTGAGCAATCATCTCTGAGTCGTCTGGCCCTTCATGTTCTCCTTCCTATGTCATGTTCTCCTTCCTATGTCATGATCGCCCAGGTCTGGGTACAGGAGTCCCCCTTTTGCCCCTGCCTGGAACCCACTTAGGTCCTCCCTCCAGCCTTCTGGATCCTGCATCGGTCCACAAGCATCTTTACGTTCTCAGAAGACCTGTCTCAGTTTTTGCTCACCCTAGTGTTTCCAAAGCATATTCCAAGAATACTGGATTTATTATTAAGAATTGTAACTTTGGAGCGCCTGGCTGGTTCAGTTGGAAGAGCATGCGACTCCTGATCTCCTGGTTGCGTTCAAGCCCCATGTTGGGTGTAGAGATTACTTAAAAAAATAAACTTAAAAAAAAAAAAGAATCGTACCTTTAAAAAAAGGCATCCACCTTGGGAAACTCTGGGTTATACCAAGTTAAAACAGATATTATTGTGGGACATCTCAAGAGCTTCAACATTCTGAGATCATAGCAGATTTTTAAGAAGGAACTACAATTTGCTATAGTTGCTAAACTTACTTGACATCAAAACCTTTTCCCCACCTCCACCTTTGAAGTGCTTCTTGACATACCGCATTTGACAAAATAGCTTTAGGGAGAAAATGGTCTAACCCACTCACTTGATTAGATAACCATCTTTTCATAAGTGAAAGACTGTGTGAGTCCCCCCTGGCTGCCATAACAAAAGTACTACACACGGGTAGGGGGGTGCGTGGTCTCACACCACAGAAATTTATTTTCTCACAGTCCTGGAGGCTGGAAGTCGGAGATCAAGGTGTGGGCAGGGCTGGTTTTTTCTGAGGCTCTCTCCCTGGCTTGTAGGTGGCCATCTCCTCTGTGTGTCTTCACATGGTCTTCCTTCTGTGTGTGTCTGTGTCCTAATCTCCTCTTCTCATAAGGACACCATTCCTATTGAATTCGGGTCCAGCTTCACGATCTCATTTTAACTTAATTACTTCTTTAAAGATCCTATCTCCAAATACAGTCACATTCTGAGGTGCTGGGGTTGGAACTTTAGTATATGAATTTTGAAGGGGGACACAATTCAACTCATGATAGCATCTTCGTTTTATATCTGTTGGAGAAAATGTGTGCATCGATGGAAAATTATGCATTCTTTTTTTTTTTTAAGATTTTATTTATTTATTTGACAGAGAGAGACACAGCGAGAGAGGGAACACAAGCAGGGGGAGTGGGAGAGGGAGAAGCAGGCTCCCCGCAGAGCAGGGAGCCCGATGTGGGACTCTATCCCAGGCCCCTGGGATCATGACCCGAGCCGAAGGCAGTCGCTCAACCGACTGAGCCACCCAGGCGCCCCAATTATGCATTCTTTAGAGCAGGGCCAGCAAACTATAGCCAGGGGGCCAGATCGGGACTGCCACCTGTGTTTATAAATAAAGTTTTATTGGCACAAAGCTATGCTCATTCCTTCACAGATTGTCTGTGGTTACTTTCATGTTCAAATACCGTATATGGCTTGCAAAAACCAGAAATATTTATTATCTGGCCCTTTATAGAAAACGCTTACCAATGCCTGGTCTAGAGCACATCCCTCAGGGCTATCTAATTCCAATTCTGTAGGGACTCTGCCCTTTTCATTGCTTTTGAGCTATTTTACAACTCAGTAAGTTGTAGATAATAGATAGCAATGCAAAATAATCTTTGCTTATGGACACAAACAAGCCAGTTCTGTCTCCACTTCCTCATTCCTTTCAATATTCCTCACCTGTAAATGTGGATTCTCTTTTGAACTGGTTGTGACATCTTTTGAACTGGTTGTGACATCTTGCAGTGCCCTTATTAATCATGAGTTAAATAAAATCTTTAACACATGGTCGTTTTATATCTGGATGAGAGTCATAATTTTACCTTTTTGAAAATTTTCCTTTAACATGTCAATGTAATTATGCTTGGGTGTGATAATGGCATTGGGATTATGAAGGACGATGGTTTTGTTCTCAGAAGATGCATACTGAAACATTTAGGGGGGAGTGTCATGACGCCTACAGTTTACTTCCAAATGCTTCGGCATATATGTATAGATACACGTGTGTGCATACATACTTACACACATATAAGGTGTATGTAGGGGAAGACAGAGAGAAAGAGAAAGGGCATATGATAAAATATTAACAGCCAGTGAATCTAGGTGAAAGCCACATGATGCACTGGAATGGTGTACTACTCATTCAACTTTTCTGTAGGTTTGACAATTTTCAAAATAAAAAATGGGAGGGATAAGATTATGTCACATTCCCAGCTCAGCATGGAGCCAACCCCATGACCTATATCTGTGGGTGTCTCTCCAGTACTTCTGAAAGCAGCCAATTACGGACCTTTGTTAGCTCTCTGACTCTTTGGGGTCCGTGCCACAAAGAAGAATAAGCAAATGAAACATTGATGTTTCTATTGTCATGTGGCTCATTTTTTTTAGAGTCTTTAATGGTACCAAGTGAACAAGATATTAAGGTAGAATTTTTTTAACTAGATTTCTCATATTCCCAAAGAATTCTTTTAAAATAAATAAATATTAGGGCACCTGGGTGACTCAGTCGGTTAAGTGTCTGCCTTCAGCTGGGGTCATGATCTCGGGTTTCTGGGATCGAGCCCTGCGCTGGGCTCTCTGCTCGGTGGGGAGTCTGCTTCTACCTCTCCCTCTGTGTTCTCTCTCTCCCTCTGAAATATGTAAATAAATAATCATAAATAAATAAAATTAAATTAAAAAATAAATATTTTCAAATGAGCCCAGGATCTGAGGACCGCTTAGAGGACGTTCATGTTCAAGCTTAGGGTACAACTTTTGAGGGTGGGCATTGAGGTTTGTGTCTCTCAGTTGCTGCACAGATATTATATTAACCCGCCCCCTCCAGAATGACATCATGGCCTTAACGCAGTTAGGGAGCCCCATTAATTGTCATGTGTCTGCTGCTTGAGTTGGGACTATGAGATTTGGAGCGGTTAGCATACTTAGAGGTATGAACGGCCAGGTAACAATGAGGGAAGAAAGTAAGCTACATTCTCAAACACTGTGTCATTTAGCGTGAAGGTTTGGGATTGAAATTTTCTGCCCGAGGGAAGCAGAAAAAATGAGGTTTTACAGAATGCTGCCTGTTTCTAAATCTAAAAGGCACACTAAAAATAGCTCATGGGACAGCGCTGCCCAGAGGCTTCCTGAGCTGCCCAGTGGGAGTTCCTGCTTGGGGAATCTGTCCTTCAAAGCCGCTCCTCCGAACAGCCCTGAGAGTGTGTGTGAGTCACGGGGTTCTCCTGGGCTGCCTTTCATCTGGTCACAAGGAAGCAGGGGCTGGAGTGGACGGAGATGCTCCTTAATTGAAGGAGGCCCTAGAGGAGGAGACTTTCTACCTCTGACAAAGCTGATGGTCCTGAAGGGAGAGGCGCAGTGCAGGCTCAGAGATCCGACCACCGTGAAATCAACAAGAGTGAATGGGCTTTGGCCAAGACCAACACTCACGCTAAAAAAAACTGCCTTTTCTCTTCCGTCCCTACCGGAAGCATGCTGTTTAAGACATGGGTTTTTCTTATCTGGGTTATCACCATATCCGGGTCCTTTGGATCCAGTTCTGCCCACTGCAGTGAGTCTTACCTATGGACTCCCCAATCCTTTTTCTGTAGCCCATTTCAGTTCAGATTGTTCTGTTTTTAAATTTTCCTGTCTGTGCTGGGATGGCCGAGGCCCTGGGATATTCATTTGTCTAAACCTCCACAGTGTTTAGTGTAGTGTCATTCCTGGAAAGGGGGTTCCAGAAATAGACTTTGAGGGGCACCTGGGTGGCTCAGTCGGTGGGCGTCTGTCTTCGGCTCAGGTCATGATCCCAGGGTCCTGGGATGGAGTCCTGCATCCCTGCTCAGTGGGGAGCCTGCTTCTCCCTCTGATCCTCCCCCTGCTCATGCTCTCTCTCTCTCTGTCAAATAAATAAAAAATCTTTAATAAAAAAAAGGAAGTAGACTTTGAGTGTATATACTCAAAAGAATATTTGAGGGCATGTAGTCCCTCAAAGGCGGGGACTCAAAGAGCTATCTGCATATCTGTCTTCACAACAGCATTGTTCACAAGGGCCAAGGGGAGGAAGCGGTCCTAGCAGTTCGCTGGATTAGTGGACCCGGAAATGTGGTCTATCCATACAATGGAATATTATTCAGCCTTTAAGACGAAGGAAATCCTGACCCAGGCTACAACCTGGAGGACCTTGAGGCTATTCTGCTAAGGGAAATAAGCCAGT